GATGTATTAATGATGTTAACTACACATATATCATCTATAGTTATGTATTCATGATGTGAACAACACGTATATCACCTATAGTGATATATTCATGATGTAAACTACTAAACTTCACATATATCATCTCTAGTAATGTATTCATGATGTATACTACGCGTATACCATCTCTCGTGATGTATTCATGATGTAAACTACACGTTAACCACCTATAGTGATGTATTCATTATGTGAATCGCACTTATGTCGTCTATAGTGATGTATCCATGTGAACTACACGTATGTTATCAATTGTGATGTATTCATGATGTGAACAACACGTATGTTATCTACAGTGATGTATTCATGATGTAAACTACACATATACCACCTATAGTGATATATTCATGATGTAAACTACACATATATCATCTCTAGTAAAGTATTCATGATGTAAACTACGCGTATACCACCTATAGTGATATATTCATGATGTAAACTACACATATATCATCTCTAGTAATGTATTTATGATGTAAACTGCACATTAACCACCTATAGTGATGTATTCATTATGTGAATTGCACTTATGTCGTCTATAGTGATGTATGCATGTGAACAACACGTATGTTATCAATTGTGATGTATTCATGATGTGAACGTCAAGCATTGCTTGCATTTGAGGTTTACAATGTTTATTGCCGTGCACACTGTTAAGTCAGGTTTGTATGGCATCCTGAAAGGGACATTGTCGCGTTGTCACCGTTACAAAAACAAGCAAAATGTGCCAAAAGTAACCAAAGCGCAACAATGGGACAATGCGGCAATGTCCCTTCCAGGAATCCATATCTTTGACCATGCAGAATGACGTTGGTTTCTCATATCCCGCAGTCCTTAGAATCTCCACCACATCGGTTTTAAGATGTGTTTGTGCCCCCATTCAATCCGATACGTTGCTAAAAAGCCCAATCCATCAATGATTTGCACTTTTTGAAGAACCCCACATTTCAACTTTTTCCATTAGGTCTGGAAATAATAATAACAGAAACAGAAATGGCTTCAAGAAAGGGGAGAAGAGGTATGTGTTCATCATGTTTAAGTGATGGAACCGGTGGGACAATACCCCCATTATTCTTATCCTGTGGGGATATGTTTGGCAGCCTGGAGGTTAAAGCGTTCCCTTGTCACACCAAAAGCCCGGGTTCGATTCCCCACATGGGTACTGTGAGTGAAGCTCATTTCTGGTGTCCCCCGCCGTCATGTTGCTGGAATATTGCTAAAATCAGCGTCAAACCAAACTCACTCACTCACGCCACTGTCTTATATATCTCTGTCGGGATATGTTGAAGCTGAACGACTGCGAGTATACATGTACATGACGGTTACAGTTATGACCAACAGTATATATAGGGTAAAAATAGATGTTGTCCACCGGTCTCGAGGGGGGCATGGGTCGATGTACCCTCTTTATTAGATTATGTACCCTCAATGTTATTTTATGTAACATAAACTGGCAGAGAGTACATCGATTCGTATCTCAACTTACATTAAAATACTAGCTTCTGATTGGTTAAGGAGTGGCAATAATTTACCATGTAGCCCGCTCATGTTTCCCGTTAATCAATCAATCGGAACATTCCTTTGATGACATGCTTATCTCGCATAAGAATCGTTGAGCTGATATGAACCGATGGTTATCCGAATTCATTGGATAAAGGGAAGTACCTCGGTTCGTTTTCGTGGTCTGCTTGCTGACAAAGTGGCTGTATCAAAGCTTTTTCCTCCTTGAAACTTCGGACATATATTCCGTGTCTGTATAAATGGATGTCGGTGAGAAAAATTCGTTGTCAACCGATTCCTCGGGAATATGGTGTGATGTGCCCTGAAGGCTCGGGATATCCAAAAATTATCTTCCTTATAAGAAATGTAGCTAACATGTTAGCAGGATCAATAATGGAATGGGTCTCCGCCAATCAGAATCCGACGGTAAAATATATGTTGTTTTAACCAACCGCAGCTCAGCAAACCAAAGCAACGAGAAAGAATTCAAACATATCGGTCGCAGGCACCATCGTGTGTTTTGTTATTTTTGTGAAGTGAGTGAGTGAGTTGTGTTTAGCGCTACTTTGAACAGTGTTCCAGTTATATCACGGTTATATGACTGATTAAGGGACGAAATTCTGCATAAAAAACAGAGAGTTATTCGAAGATTCTGAAAAGTGTTTATTCTTTTCTTTGTTTTCATCCCATAGCCTCCATGTTGATTCCTTCACAGCACTCCCGGTGAACGTCTGAAACAAATAGCGAACTAGATTCTTGACATTTGGTTAATAAGTCTGTGTTGGCAATGTGTTCACAGTGTACTACGTCATGTGTTCACGAGTGAGTGAGTGAGTGAGTGAGTGGGTGAGTGAGTGAGTGAGTGAGTGGGTGGGTGGGTGAGTGAGTGAGTGAGTGAGTGAGTGAGTGAGTGAGTGAGTGAGTGAGTGAGTGAGTGAGTGAGTGAGTGAGCGAGCGAGTGAGTGAGCGAGTGAGTGATGTGGCAAGCAACCAAGTCATGTCTGTGAGCACTGACCCACATTGTTGGGAGCACGTGTGACCGTTGTACAGACTTGCTTCCCTAAGACGTGCCACGAACCTGTCATCGTGAGTTCGAATCCCAGATGTGAGGTGAAATGGGGTTTAACGTCGCTTCGAAGATTATTGCACTTATATAGCGACGTGCATGTACGTGTATGTGTGTGTGTGGCTGCTTGTACTAGTCCGGACTGATGCCAATTTATAGTGCTAGCTCACTGAGATACCATGCCGCAGTTTAAGATGAATACCCCACTCAGACACAGTATACTGACTCCGAGCCGATGAGTCCTTGTTTTAGCCCCTTAATGCTGAGCGCCAGACAGGATAACAACAAGTACCATCTTTTAACGTCTTTTGGTATGACGCGGCCGGGGATCGAACCCCGGACCTCCGGGCGGACGCTCTACCACAAGACCACGGAGGCGGTCCTCGAATCCCACAATTGGCCCTGAATATGATACGTGATTTGCCAGCACCATACCCGTGCCCGTGTGTTTCATCAGAGAGGTAAGACCTGCATCATTTTCAAGTGAATAACCTTGCAGGGTACACCGACGTTCTGAGGCAGTCGTGACATAGGTCTTTGATTCCCTGTGCAAGGGACAAGCATGGACTCATGTGTTCATCCGACCAGTAGATATTTAAAACAAATTGTTGAACCAATAAATAATATAATATCAATACCTTCTATTTGTTTTATCCATGGTGACCATGACCGTGGCCGTGTCCATGACCGTGACCATGCCCGTGACCGTGACCATGCCCGTGACCGTGTCCATGACCGTGACCATGACCGTGTCCGTGACCATGGCCGTGACCATGACCGTGACCGTGTCCATGGCCGTGTCCGTGACCATGCCCGTGACCGTGTCCGTGACCATGACCATGCCCGTGACCATGCCCGTGACCGTGACCATGTCCGTGGCCATGCCCGTGTCCGTGTCCGTGACCGTGACCATGTCCGTGAGCTTCACATGGAGCCACAAAGACAACTGCAACTAAAATAATACTATGTCATTACATCTCCGATAGTTTTACTCCATCATGACAAACAGTCACCATTATCTTTTTCTATTTTAGCTCTGACACTATTTGAACTTGGTTTCTTATTTCGAAATCAGTTTTGAATGCATCGGACAATGCAGAATTCTGTTTTAAAAATCGAAAAATTCCAAGTGTAACCAAATCATAATTGTAGTGCAGATGAGTTTGGAACCTGATTTACTCACCGAGTGCGAAACACAGTATCACTGTCGGGTTCCTCATGTTGTTGGACTGAAAAGATGACTTCGTCTCTGGTCACAATCCTTTTTATAGTTCTATTAACCACTACATCATCATGATTTTAGCAGTGACGGCATTCAGATATCAACAGTGTTGTCCATAGAAGAATCAACAGGGCGTCAGTGAGCGCAGAGATAATCCCTTTACACTGTGATGATCTCCACTGACGCCTGTGAGGTGACAGCGCGTGAGTGAGTGAGTGTGTGTGTGACTGAGTGAGTGAGTGAACGAATAAATATTGCATCGGCATGCTACTGGCAGTCTAAAATTTAGACTCGGAATATATTTTAAACCATCAGCGGATCGCCATATGGCAAAGAGGCGCAATTCAGATAATTCTATCACCCAAGAACAACACCAGGCAACATTCCGCCGTCATATCAGTAGAAAATAACAGAATTATTATAGACTTCAGTGTGAAAGACTGAGGTTTTCCGAAGTTGAGAAAAGTGATATTTCCATAGCAGTGAACATTTGTCCTAAGTGACTTGCCCGTACACAAACTGTTGATGTTCTTTTTACGTTAGGTCCACATTGACAAGGCAAAATAATGATAGACGGTCGTTTATGGAGTTAATATCACTTCTTGCCGTTTGTTATTCTCACGAAATTGTTTCCTTTACAATCTGTAAATTTCTCATATAACTCGTCAATCGAGACTGTTCGTTTCTCAAAGCGCCATTTTTGTTACTTGACCAGCGCATTCTTTCGCTTCCGAGGCGGTGGGGTAGTCTAGTGGTTAAAGCGTTCGCTCGTCACGCCGAAGACCCGGGTTCGATTCCCCACATGCGTACAATGTGTGAAACCCATTTCTGGTGTCCCCCGCCGTGATATTGCGTAAAACCATACTCACTCACTAACTCTTTCGCTTCCAGCAGCGGTCTCCTAGTTTTCAAGAAGATTTTTTGTTGAAGTTGATTTTGTATATAAGTTTGAATGTATATATTTTCGTGACCCTAAATGTATTTTGAAACTTTCGTTTGTATTTTTTAAAGATTTTGCAAACACTAAACTACTTTTTAAGTCGCAAATACAAGGGGTGGTGAACCGTCCCTGTGTGTCAGGTAGGGAGAATTTACGTTTCAAGGTTTTACATTTGTAATGAAATATTTTAATTCTCGGGTAGACAACTACACAAAAAGAATATAATAATACCCCACTCGTGAAAATAGCTACCAAAAAATGTTTTTATTATATCAATATTTACAAATCTACTCATTACAATGATCTGCAGTCTACAAAGATGATGTGATGATGTACTTTGTAATTTACAGTGAAACACAGTAAGTTCGACAACCCTTCCTTCAAGACGATCACTCTTGGGAACGTATATGCATAAAGGGATAAACTGATATCGATCTGACACGGAATCCGGAGGCTGTCACAGGGAATGTTACCGCCCTGATTAATGACATTTTCACTGCATGTCGAGCAACAATTGACAAAAGTAAGGCTTTTTTCACTATTGACAGTCTGATATGAAGACCATATTGTCTTTGCTGAAGCATAATTTAGCAAATCCTTGCCATATGTCCCTGTCTAGAACTGTCTAACAAGAAGCAAACTGGGTGCACTTATTTACAGTGAGTAAGTTGAGTGTGTTGGGTTAACGCCACTGCTACTTCATGTGGGAGGAGATGCGGGGGTTTGACGTTTACCACTTTGGTAAAAGATCAGGTCACATTACTGAGCATGGCACGCTTGAGACCCTGCCAGAACACCTCCTTCCCCTCCTCATCATTCGTGTATTCAATATAGGACTCGTGTGCGATGATCTCGCAAATATGTTGAGGTAGGTCCTTCACAGGGATGTCCTCAAGCATGACAACCACCAGTGTCTGCCGTCCAGTGTAGATACTCTCAATTTTGGTCATCTCCAACTCGTACTTACACCAGGGGCTTCTGAGGAAGTTCCTGGACAACAATACAACCGTCTTCCTGCTCGATCTAATGGCGTCGAGGATGTTTGCAGCAATGGCTTCGCCTGGTAGGAAGTCTCGGTCGTGAATACAGAGTTTGAGTCCTTCTGTGTCCTCCAATCTCTGCCTCATGTCACTGGTGACAATCTGTCGGTCCTCATCTGCATAAGAGATGAAGCCATCATACTCAAACCCTTCATCGCCATCAGGAACCAGCCTATTGTATTTGCTTCTGGTCAGGTAATACAGATACCTTAGCTTCCAGCGGTACCTATAGACCAGACTAGACACGCCCAGCGATACGGCAATCATAACGACACTGAGGCTTCCTATCATGACACCAACATAGGACGCACAGGATTTGTCAAGTCTCAGAGTCATGTCTGTTATTGTGTGTGTGTTGAGCGCAACCAATTTCTTGTCGGATGTAGTACATGTATAGTGTTGGTCACTATGGAGATGACTTGACATCCACTTCAGAGACGACAGAGTGTCACAGTTGCATTTCAGGGGGTTCCCTTCCAGCAGCAGAGTCATGCCTTGGACAGATGCTGCGTCAAGTTCAGAACGAAGTGTTGGTGGTACTTCTTCAAACAGATTGTGTGAAATATCCAACAGGGTGAGATTCCCCATGTGTCTGATGTCGGCGTCCCATGTGGTCAGAAAGTTATAACTTAGGTTCAGGTGAACCAGCTGAGCCATATTCTTAAACATATATGTAGGAAGATGATTGATTTTGTTGTCGGATATGTCGAGAACTTCTAGTGTTGGTATACCGTTGATACTGCTGGCCTTGAGAGAATAGCCAAGGTAGTTGGAACTAATATTCAGAACTCTCAATGAAGGGAAATTCTTGCAAAAATTATCTCCAATAAAATCACAATAATTGTGAGACAGGTCAACATACTGTAATGCATTGAGACCTAGTATTGGACCTTCCCAACGTGTGAAGAAATTATAGGACATGTCCAGCACCTTCAGTTTATTAGGTCCAAATCGGGATCTTGGAATGACGTAGTTCATCTTGCTCTTGCTTATGTTCAGGAATTCTCCATTTGGCGGAACAGACATGGTAAAGTTTCCTGGCCACCCTGAATAGTTTGAAACGTTTTGAAGTGTAATTTCTTCCGTCGCAAACGTCAACACCAAGGGAGGTAATCCTTCTGGCTTATTGTTCATGCTGAGAGGAAGGTCCAAGTTGATGTCGAGGTCTTTTTCAGCCTGTGCTTGGATTTGTCTCTTGTCGTCGTCACAAGGTCCTTTACTCGCCGACTGACCAAGAACTGTACAGGTGTATGTGTCCGGATCAAAACTACCATCTTGAATCATTGTGACTAACGTAGACTGATATCTTTTCTCATCCACAGAGAAAGGGTTAACATGGGACTGATGCTGAAAGGAAACGTCGGCCCATGTGAGGTTAACAAGCGTCGACAAACCCAACATATATAATCCAAAGATGAAGTTATTGTTTTTAGCTGAGATGACTTTGATGCTTGATGGTAAGCTCGCTATAGTGCTCAGGTCCAGAAGCTCGATCTGATTCTCATCAACATGAAGTTCCTGAAGTTGGCTTCCCGTCAGGAACTGGACATCTTTGACAGAGACGACAATGCCAGCGCCACGCCTTCTGTGAACTCTGTTCAGTTTGAGGACCTTCAGTGAGGAGTTGACTGTGCCATACATGCCGTGGGATAGAGTTCCGAAAGTCAGATCAACGTTGTACGACAGATCCAGTGTGTTGATCTCTCGGAGAGGGACAAAGGTGAAAGGTTGTATTTTCGTGATTTCACAGTTGGAGAGATCAAGGAATCTGATAGTGGGCAGATTGATAAATGTGGTGTTAGAAAGGGTCTGTGTAGTACATGTTCCCCCCGACCCGCTCAACACTAATGTCGTCAGGAGTGTAAGTTTCCTAAATCCTTCACCGAATACAAGATGGTCGAGTCCGTCAAGGCGAAGTACTTTCAGTGAGATTAGATCAGAGAAAGTTGCATCCGGGTACTTCATATCCAGGTCACCGACGCGGGAAGTGTTGTGAGCCAGTAACACCTGCAGCTTCTTCTGTTTCCTGAATAATCCCGGTGGAAATGATCGGTCGTCAAGCCGAAGATGGTTGCTGTGTAGATCCAGATTTATCAGGTCAGGAAGATAAAGTAAAGTCTCCTTATCCAAGTCATCCAGTTTGTTGAAGGACATGTTAAGATAGCGTAGCTGTGAATATCTTTTGAAGCTCGTCTCATTCAGAACTGCTATGTCGTTGCATGATATCTCTAACTTGGTAATGTTCTGGGGGAGATATGCAGGAATGTATGAGAGTTTTCTGTTTGTACAATCAGCAGTTATCTCCCCTTGTCGTCGGTAACACGTGCACGGGTGACATTCTTTCAGAGCGTGGACCATGGAAGGTAATATATTGACTGCAGCCGATAAGACTACCCACGCCAGAAGCAGTGAGTCACATCTGAAAAAAACAAACAAATACAGAATGACAACGCCAGAGAGTTATCAGCCTCGCTTATCTACCGAAACAGATTCATTTTGGGCATAAAAGGCAAAATAGTGAGGTAAATTAAATGGATCACTGAAAATCAGCTAAGACACCTCGTGTTTGTGCAAAGGGTAGCACCCACCACTCACCCAATTTGCAAAAGAAAGTAAGTGTTTTCGCCTGACGCCGCATCCAGAAATAACCCACACACATCACGTTTGGGGCGGAGCGGTGGGGTAGCTTAGTGGTTTAAGCGTTCGCTCGTCACGCCGAAGACCCGGGTTCGATTCCCGACATGGGTAGAATGTGTGGAGCCCGTTTCTGATGTCCCACGCCATGATTTTGCTGGAATATTGCTAAAAGTGGCGTAAAACCATACTCACTTACACACGTCTGGGGCAATTAATCGCTGAAGGATCTTCCAGTTGTAATTATGCTATAATGGCAGACCGAAGGATTGTTTTGGAGAACAGGACGTTGACGTCAGACGAATTGTCACTTTTCAAAAAAGGACATCATTAATAAGATTAAGCATTACCAAGGAAAATTAAACAATTTTCAAACTAACCAAGTTATATAGATATTGTTTAAACGCACTTCTCTGTGTAGAAAGGGGCGGTCGGGTAGCCTAGTGGTTAAAGCGTTCGCTCGTCGCGCCGAAGACCCGGGTTCGATTCCCGACATGGGTACAATGTGTGAAGCCCATTTCTGGTGTCCCCCGCTGTGATGTTGCTGGAATATTGCTTATAGGGGCGTTAAGCCATACTCACTCACTCTGTGTAGAAACTCTTCAGTAACGCATTAAACGTCAAAGGTTTGGCAAGCTTATACCCTCACACAGTCAGATAGGAACCGATAATCCCCATTAATGGTACCAGTTGCAAATTTCTTCATAATGGACGGTTACACCATGTCCTTTTTTTGCAACAAGTATTTAATCTCATTCACTTATATCACTGGTGTCGCCCAATAAGTGCTGTACAGGAGAGTCCTAGTGTTTTTGCGGCGGACATGTGCTTTGTGTGGTCAGGTTTTGTGGATGGCGGGTGTTTGCCCTGATCGCGGGCGCCTGGGGTCGTCTTTGGTCGTACTACTTTATACTCTTTTGACAGGTGTGTGTGTGTGTGGGAGGGGGGGGGGGGGGGGGGCCTCAAATCGTTCGCTCGTCACGCCGAAGACCCGGGTTCACTTCCCCACAAGGGTACAAAATTGTTTTAAGCCAATTTCTGGAATTTCCCGCCGTGATATTGAAGGAACAGTTCTAAAAGCGGCACAAAATCATACTCAATCACTGTTATGACAGATAACAATCTGAACTTACACTCTCTTTCCATTTTAAGCAAGGTCCAAAGTATATCTCGCTATTTTTCACACCTTACTAAATCACTATTCAGGGCGTTATTTACATTATGTTTTAAAATCTAAATTTCGGATATATACTCGGAGAAATGGATTTTTTTTTAAAGCATATAAGTGATCACTGGTATCTGTCTTTTATCAAATCACCAATGATCATCCCAATACGATTACCCTTTTAGCGGAGAAATTTGCTGTTTTTCAGAGCAGAACAAAATCTCGGACTTGCAGTTAAATTTACACCAGCAGATAGGAAAGTTAATATTCTACATCTCTGCATAAAGTTATAGCTGGGGGTAGTTCCAATGCTGCGCGAGCGCAATTCTCGCACAACCTTCACTTTCAGATCTTTTGAAAATGTGCGTCAGAAAAATAACTCGGCATCCACCGGGTTGAAAGCATTTGCGTTATCCTAGCTGTTGGTGTTATCATACCCTCGACTTGCTGAAGATACAAGCTTTCTTCATGTCTATGTAACCAATCTTAAACTGACAGAGTGAAAAAAACAAATGTATGAACATCAAATCAACACAACTGAAAAGTTGGCAGAGACATGTTGACCCACTGGAATTGCCAAATATATACTAAATCAAAGACGAGTGAACCTTTAAAAAATGTTATAAAAATGGCAGATGTGCTCAAGATAACATTTTCGTTTAAAGAGTGCACTGTTTCCAAATGCGTCTAAAAATGTCAAAGATATGCTCTTATTAAAATAGACCTACAGAATCACTGAAAAAAATGTTGGCTGTGAATTTTACGATCACTAACGATAATTTTCGAAACAATTAATCAAATATATCCTTATTTATGAAAATCTGCAATTCAAATGACCAAAAAGGAGTTTTTCGAGAACAAAGGACGTTACCTGTGCATCTTGATTCCACGCACCCCGCGGCCTGTGCTTACACGTGCAGACTGACTCGTGTGTGAGTCCCCCCTCTTATCTTAACTGGTTGATGACCTCTCGCCCCAACTTTGGGAAAAACCTGCAGCGTTCAAATAAAAAAACGCATGGCCCAGTTTGCCAATCATTTATTACATCCTGTGTAATCTGACATGTCTAACTTGCTATCACTGTCTGGTTAACCCTGCGAAGGCGATTTCTGCATATTATCTGTTTAGTAGGGAAATACAGTCTCTGCTCTTTCTTATATTGTTTGTTTGTTGTTTAACGTCGCCGCTCGGCACTATTCCAGCTATATGACGTCTAGACCAGACAATCCAGTGATTGACATCATGAGCATCGCTCCACACAATTTGGATACGATGACATACATTAACCAAGTCAGCGAACCTGACCACCACCCCCCCTCCCCCCCCCCCCCCCCCCCACCACCCCCACCCCCCTCCGAATATTCTGTGATGATGGAACGACACCAACATACATACTATTTCAGGATCACCAGTCAAGAATGTTTGTTGTAAAATCTTAGGCAAAAAAGAATTTTGCCACAATTTTCTTAAACGAATTAGTTTTGTAAATCAATTTTTCTTCTTTAAAAAAATGATAACTCACATATCATTTGCATTTGGATTTATTCAACGAATTGGAGAAAAAACTTAATCCCCGTAATTGATTGTTGAAATTCAATAAAACACAAAAAGATGCCAATCAATCATATTCAAGGTTCATAAGAAGTCAGGGAGCTTGGTTTAACGCCGCTTTTAACAGTATTCCAGTTATATCACGGCGTGTCAGCTTAATGTGGGAGCAAAGCCCGAAGTGATGCAGGTCTCAGACGTTTACCACTTCGGTGAAAACCACGAGCACGGGTATGATGCTGACTAACCTAGAAACATAATCGGGGCGAACCGGGATTCGAACCCACAATCATAGGTTCCTGGCGTGCCCAAGGGACGCAACTCTGCACATCGAATCTCGGCGCCTTAGACGACTGGGCCACCCGTGATCCCAGGCTCCTAAGAAATAAATGAGCGTGTATAGGTTACGATTCTGAAAACGTGGTCACCACAGGGTGGCTTAAACACAGTAGGATCACCACAACATAAGAGGATTAACTCCATAACGCCGTTCTAAGTGACTAACGACACTATGGGGGTCTTATTATTTTGAAAAAAATCACCATGATTTGCTATTTGTGTTTTACGAAAGTATAAAAGCTGATCTGAGACTCAAGCGTGTCATCAGTACTCACTCCTTCAACAAGTCAGTAACAAGATGAAGAACATTACAGTGATACTGTGTCTTGCACTTGGTGAGTAAATTGGCTCTCTTATATTGGTAATATTGTCTTTTTTTCGTTTCGTTAAGTCAGTGGATACATATACATGAAATGTTGACGACACAAGGCTCACGTACGATACATGTGTACCTACTAGTACCAGGGTACGGATTGCCCATTCGTCTAAGGTGCCGCAATTTATTGTGCAGAGTTGCGACTCACATCGCCAAGATTATGTTTCCATACCCGTTTCGCCAATATGGTAGGCGAACCCTCTGAGTCCTGTATTACGTCAGACTTTCCTTTCACATGGAGCTGACACGATGTGACATAACTGAAATAAATTAATGTTGAAGAAGTGAGGTAAAACTAAACTCGCTCAGAATTCCGAATGGTTTGGGTAATATTCTTGGGATAATCCGGCAGCGGAGGTCGCCATGCAAGGTTTTGAATTTTGTTTTATTTTCTTCCTACAAGAAAGTACTTGTATGGAAACGGCGTCCAGGATTCAAATGAAATTACTCTCACAAATGAAGTTATTTATTGAAGTTGGTTATAAGGCAAATGTAAACAGTCAAACTATAAACAATGTGTTATTTTAGTTGCAGTTGTCTTCGTGACTCTCAGTGAAGGTCACGGACACGGTCATGGTCACGGTCACGGACATGGTCACGGACACGGTCATGGTCATGGTCACGGACATGGTCACGGTCATGGTCACGGTCACGGACATGGTCACGGTCACGGACATGGCCACGGACACGGTCATGGTCACGGACATGGTCACGGCCACGGCCACGGCCACGGCCACGGCCACGGTCATGGTCACGGACATGGCCACGGACACGGTCATGGTCACGGACATGGTCACGGTCATGGTCACGGACATGGACACGGTCATGGTCACGGACACGGTCATGGACACCACGGCTAAAACAAGAAAAAGGTATAAAAGAGCTATAGACACTCATCAGTTACAATGTAAGAGGTCTCACATTGTAAAATCTGTGATTCCGGGGTATATTTGGTTCGCAGTCACATTTGCTTGTCGTCAGAGGGCCACTGAAAGAGATCAGATGGTATGTCATCGTACCCCGATGGCGCTGGACGTTGCTCATAATATCAACCCCTGGCTTATCTGACTCTATTATTTACAGACAGCCGTGATCTAGCTGGAACATATCGCTGGCAGCTGCGTGAAACATCATCACTTATTTGCAATATACCGTTATTTTAATTTCGCTTAACAATTATGCCTGAAAATGTTTAATGTAAATCGGTATGCACATGCATTCGTTAATGTTAACGATCTCTTCTATTTTATTTGAGTTACATGTATATTGGAAGGAGATATTGATAACTTGATCAGACAAATAATGCTGATAATTTGTTGTTGTTTTTTCAGATTAGGCGTGAAAGTATGGCCGAAACCTTCTTGGAAACAATGTGAATTATGTACAAAATAAACTATAACGATCTTCATAGGAGTGTCTTTTTTCGTTGATAAATAGACATAAAGTGTTTCCACGCCAACACAAGACCTGCCTAGCATGCACGTTGGGCCTGTAGAACTCTCAGAAAAGTAGGGGCGGTCGGGTAGCCTTGTGGTTAAAGCGTTCGCTCGTCACGCCGAAGACCCGGGTTCGATTCCCGACATTGGTACAATGCTGTGATATTGCTGGAATAAAGCGGCGTAAAACCATACTCACTCACTCACTCACTCAGTATAGTAACACAGTAATTTACATGTCGAACCTGTGTGTCATGCACGACTCTATGCATTAAGACCCTCGAGGTTGAGGAATAGCACAGTGGTAAGGGGTACAGCCAGGTTCGACTCCCTCCGGGGTACAGTACTGAAATATGGTTGTACTTCTTATTACTTCTTATGTCTCGAGACAATTTGCAACCAACTTCGATTGTTCAGTGTGTCACAGATATAAGGCCCTGGATAATGGAGGATGGCCTGGAACCCACAGGTAGACTGTCCGAATGTTGTTTAACGCCGCAGCAATATTCAAGCTAAATAACATTCTATGCAAAAGAGAGACCCGACCAGACAAACCTGTTATAGATAGCATGAACAACATTAGATATCCACTCCCGAGTGCGATGACACAATCAGCCAGTTCACAATGTGAGTTTGACCCAGACAAACCAATGGTTGATATTATGAGCAACACTAAATGCATCGGAGTACTATCAGCCGGATCACATTGTGACCACCCGATCCTCACTACAAGACATAATCAGGGCGAATCCAGACCAACGAAAACCAGGGGCCGCGTCTCCTGCGCATGCCTCAGTCATAATCCTGGTCTCGTCAGCACCGTGGTCGTTGTCGTGGTGGTGGTGGTGGTCGTCGTGGTTCTCAACAAAGAAGGTTTTCTGTCCATATGTACACTACGGGGCGAAAGAAAGTATATACCCATGTTTGATGGTGGCTAAATATAAAACAAACAAAAAATGGTTATTCGATGGTGATGTATTTCATACGGGTGTCATTGCTGTGTTTTTGGACCTAAAGCTTGCAATGTGCTGCTGCCTGTTTTCAGCCGAGTAATGTTTTGACAACGTTTGTAATTGTTTGGTCAAATCCAATTTTAATGCGTCCACTTTCTTTTGCCCGGCAACATTGTTCAAAGCAGTGAGATTCACTCACCTTGGGACAATAGGACACTGTTGATCAACACCAATGCTACTCCATTTCATATTGATCATGTTGATTGCGTGGTGAAGTATAGACTCACTTATTCACTCACTCACTCACTCACTCACTCACTCACTCACTCACTCCAATACTCTCACTCACCCACCCACCCACCCACCCACTCACACACTCACTCACTCCCATACTCTCACTCACTCACCCACCCACTCACTCACTCACTCAATCGTTCCCCAACTCATCAACTGACACGAAGGTTTGTCATGCGTCAGTGTCTTCATTAAAAAACAAAAGGACGTTTTTCACAGCGACAGACTAAAGTAACTTGTTCCGAGCAACTTCCGAGGCACCATGAGCTGACCACAGATCTGAAGAAAGCGGAGAAAGCTTACGTTATCACAATCACAATGTTTCAGAACGATTTGACGTCCTTTCACTGAAGTGTTAGAACAAGAATGACACTCCAAACCACCCCAAACCACCCCACACCGCCCCACACCACACCACACCACACCGTCTCACACCACACCACACCGTCCCACACCACACCACACCGTCCCACACCAAACCACACCGTCCCACACCACACCACACCGTCCCACACCACACCACACCACACCACACCACACCACACCGTCCCACACCACACCACACCGCCTCACACCACACCACACCACACCACACCGCCCCACACCACACCACACCACACCGTCTCACACCACACCACACCGTCCCACACCACACCACACCGTCCCACACCACACCACACCGTCCCACACCACAACACACCGTCCCACACCACACCACACCACACCACACCGTCCCACACCACACCACACCGTCCCACACCACCCCACACCGCCCCACACCACACCACACCACACCGTCTCACACCACACCACACCGTCCCACACCACACCACACCGTCCCACACCACACCACACCGTCCCACACCACACCACACCACACCACACCACACCACACCACACCACACCACACCACACCACACCGTCTCACACCACACCACACCGCCTCACACCACACCACACCGTCTCAAAACCACACCACACCGTCCCACGCCACACCACATCGCCTCACACCACACCACACCGTCCCACACCACACCACACCGTCCCACACCACACCACACCGTCTCAAAACCACACCACACCGTCTCACACCACACCACACCGTCCCACACCACACCACACCGTCCCACACCACACCGTCCCACACCACACCACACCGTCCCACACCACACCACACCGCCTCACACCACACCACACCGTCTCACACCACACCACACCGTCCCACACCACACCACACCGTCTCACACCACACCACACCGTCCCAAACCACACCACACCGTCCCACACCACACCACACCGTCCCACACCACACCACACCGTCCCACACCACACCACACCGCCTCACACCACACCACACCGTCCCACACCACACCACACCGTCCCACACCACACCGTCTCACACCACACCACACCGTCCCAAACCACACCACACCGTCTCACACCACACAACACCGTCTCACACCACACCACACCGTCCCACACCACACCACACCGTCTCACACCACACCACACCGTCTCAAAACCACACCACACCGTCCCACACCACACCACACCGTCCCACACCACACCACACCACACCACACCACACCACACCACACCACACCGTCCCACACCACACCACACCGTCTCACACCACACCACACCGTCCCACACCACACCACACCGTCCCAAACCACACCACACCGTCCCACACCACACCACACCGTCCCACACCACACCACACCGTCTCACACCACACCACACCGTCTCACACCACACCACACCACGCCACACCACACCGTCCCACACCACACCACACCGTCTCACACCACACCACACCGTCCCACACCACACCACACCGCCTCACACCACACCACACCGTCCCACACCACACCACACCGTCCCACACCACACCGTCTCACACCACACCACACCGCCCCACACCACACCACACCACACCGTCTCACACCACACCACACCGTCCCACACCACACCACACCGTCCCACACCAAACCACACCGTCCCACACCACACCACACCGTCCCACACCACACCACACCACACCACACCACACCGTCCCACACCACACCACACCGCCTCACACCACACCACACCACACCACACCGCCCCACACCACACCACACCACACCGTCTCACACCACACCACACCGTCCCACACCACACCACACCGTCCCACACCACACCACACCGTCCCACACCACAACACACCGTCCCACACCACACCACACCACACCACACCGTCCCACACCACACCACACCGTCCCACACCACCCCACACCGCCCCACACCACACCACACCACACCGTCTCACACCACACCACACCGTCCCACACCACACCACACCGTCCCACACCACACCACACCGTCCCACACCACACCACACCACACCACACCACACCACACCACACCACACCACACCACACCGTCTCACACCACACCACACCGCCTCACACCACACCACACCGTCTCAAAACCACACCACACCGTCCCACGCCACACCACATCGCCTCACACCACACCACACCGTCCCACACCACACCACACCGTCCCACACCACACCACACCGTCTCAAAACCACACCACACCGTCTCACACCACACCACACCGTCCCACACCACACCACACCGTCCCACACCACACCACACCGTCCCACACCAAACCACACCGTCCCACACCACACCACACCGTCCCACACCACACCACACCACACCACACCACACCACACCGTCCCACACCACACCACACCGCCCCACACCACACCACACCACACCGTCTCACACCACACCACACCGTCCCACACCACACCACACCGTCCCACACCACACCACACCGTCCCACACCACAACACACCGTCCCACACCACACCACACCACACCACACCGTCCCACACCACACCACACCGTCCCACACCACCCCACACCGCCCCACACCACACCACACCACACCGTCTCACACCACACCACACCGTCCCACACCACACCACACCGTCCCACACCACACCACACCGTCCCACACCACACCACACCACACCACACCACACCACACCACACCACACCACACCACACCGTCTCACACCACACCACACCGCCTCACACCACACCACACCGTCTCAAAACCACACCACACCGTCCCACGCCACACCACATCGCCTCACACCACACCACACCGTCCCACACCACACCACACCGTCCCACACCACACCACACCGTCTCAAAACCACACCACACCGTCTCACACCACACCACACCGTCCCACACCACACCACACCGTCCCACACCACACCGTCCCACACCACACCACACCGTCCCACACCACACCACACCGCCTCACACCACACCACACCGTCTCACACCACACCACACCGTCCCACACCACACCACACCGTCTCACACCACACCACACCGTCCCAAACCACACCACACCGTCCCACACCACACCACACCGTCCCACACCACACCACACCGTCCCACACCACACCACACCGCCTCACACCACACCACACCGTCCCACACCACACCACACCGTCCCACACCACACCGTCTCACACCACACCACACCGTCCCAAACCACACCACACCGTCTCACACCACACAACACCGTCTCACACCACACCACACCGTCCCACACCACACCACACCGTCTCACACCACACCACACCGTCTCAAAACCACACCACACCGTCCCACACCACACCACACCGTCCCACACCACACCACACCACACCA